ATACCATTTTTTGTTTATTTTATTTCAATCTATAATCATAAAACCGAAATCATTTACAACAATAATTGTCCCAGTAACGGAAGACCAACATCGCTAACAAAAAATATTTGGGTCGTTACACAAATGAAGGCTTATTTTGAGACATGTTTTGATAGCAATTCATTACCATAACAAGAAAGGACTTAGAAAGCATACATGCCCAAAATATATATTTAAGGTGAAAGGACTGAAACATGAAGAAGTTAAATTTGATCATGGATCACGAGCCCTTTCCATAGAATCAAAAGATAACTAGTTCTCCCATGTTTGGTGTTCAATCAAATATATGGATTCATAATTCCATCAGAACATTACTTCTAAACCTTGAGTATTTCACTAAGGATTAAGTACTGACATTTGCAAGAATGTGCAGTGACTAAAATGAAGTAAGAAGACTGAAACATTGAGAACATAATTTGATCATGAATGTCAAGCCCTTGCTACTATTCATGGGATCAAAAGACAGCTCTTTTCCCAAATGTTTAGTCTATGGTATTATAATTGAAATTGTTTATACTATGATTCATGAGATAGTTCTGACTTATTTAAATGTGGAGCATTATAACATGTTAAAAGAAACTAATGAAATCTACGAAGCTAGTATAGTAGCAATAGTTCAAAGTTGATTCGAATATTTGAATAAGGTGTATTATTGTGGTGCAAATATCTGTTGAAATTAGTTTACCTAATGGATCGTTTAGATTGACCATAATACATATTGATTCAAATACATCCAAATGGTTTGGTTGAAATATATTTGTGGAATCATAGTCTTGGATACATAAATGAGAAATGCATTACCAAGTATCCTGTTGGATCGGATTTTGGATATCATTTGACCTCGAGTCTCGTGATAAATGCAAATCTTGTTTATCAAGATAGATAATGAATACATCACTGGGTGATGTGAATATATGTTCGAATTAGTTTGCACTAATGGACTGTTCAGATTAACCACGATACATGGTAAGACCAACTTCATATGAACATGAGTCTGTAACCTTTCAGGTGTTTAGAGTTCTTACGTAGTAGTGCTATGGTTCACTTACGTACATACCAATACATGTTGCTATCTTTCTAGGGGAATCCACTTCAAAAGTAACTCATCTTAATCGTTTTTTTAATTTTTAAAGATTCCTTCTATCTTCTATTAATTAATATCAACCAAATATTTTCCTTTCCCTTATATTATCTTTTACCAAAACATTATTGTCATCTCCATAAAAAACAAAGTGATAGGATTATTTCAGGTCATTTAACAAGCCTCAAAACAACATGAATTAATCAACATTTCAAACACAACTCCTGTAATTTTAAAATTTTCCTATATATTCAAACATGTAGAATTGGGTCGTGGTCATCTTGTGAATAAAATCAAACCTAAAACCAACAACTTATATTTGGATCCTTGAGCTCTTTCAACAGCTTGATTTCAGTTAGAGCAGTAAAATTCACCCCTTCCTTTTGCTTCCCGAGCCGGATTTTCTATATTGCAACAGTTTACCCTGTTTGTCCCACAACCCACATCTTAATCAAACACTGAAAATGCATGCAAATGTAAAACAAATTGCTATGCGTTTTCTTTTCTTTTGATATCTTAATATATAGAGATTATATGTACAGACTAAAACACACACACAATTATCCTTGTTGCTAGTTGGTATAATGGAATTACTTTCCAGTGACATACCCTAAACCCCTAAATTTTATTCAACTAAGAATCATGCGGAGATTATTTCAAGGGGAACAGAAACCCTAAATTTTATGTTACATACCCATTCAATAGCCACACAGAGTATTACAATACCTTGGTATCAATGGCTTTGTAGACGACGCCATAGGTACCTTCCCCCAAGAACTTCACGTTTCAGGTATCGATCAACTACTTTCTTTGCTAATAAGTGATCCACTTCTGACATCTCTTTCCTCTATTTATATTATTTTTGGCCAACCAACAGGCTATGCCAAATCTGTGCTTGTTTCAACAATTATATTAGATTTCGTTCCCAAAGTCCTTGTTAGATGAAAGGGGATTTAAGCAGAGACAAAATTAGAATGGAATAGATAATATAATGTGTAGACAGACCTCTTTGAGCATATGTTGTGAAGGAATCCATAGTCTATTCACTGGTGAAGAATGATAACCTGCTTGAATAACATAATCTTTAGTTTGGTTATTGGTTGAAAGTGATTCGACCCTACAATCACCAATCAAATTCAACCCTCACCCTCTCTCTCTTCTCGCCAAAGGTGTAACGAGGCTCTGATGGCGACCCCCCTAGCGAGAGCTAGAGGGCGGTGTTCAATGATCGTTGGCGAGGGTAGCGAGCCCGTTGGCGACTCCCACTCCTCTTAGTCTAATCATCCTTCGTTTTTTACAATAAATAATGTATTCTTTTTCTTATATTGTTTATTAATTTTATAATCTTCCCTAATAAATGAAAATAATTTTTGCTACTTGTCATTCTTTTATGCATTATGCCACATGTTATTTTGTGGTAAATATAGATTAAATTATATTCATGTGTCATTTTGTGGTTGTTTCCATTTTATTAAATTTCATATAATACTTAAATATAATAAATGTATATCCAATTCATTAATGCAATTTACCTTATATTTTAAATTTCTAAATTGAATCCAATTATTTCAGTTGTTTATTTATTTAACTTATTAGTTTAAATTTAAAAGATAAATAGGCACTTCAAATTTAATAATTAAGTATTTTTTTTTCTTATAAATTTAAAATTTCTAAATTGTTAGATCTTTATGTTTGTATATATATTTTTTTGGATAAACCTATGTATTACATGAGTCTCACAACTAGTAAGAATCATAAATCTATGTAAGAACATCTCTACCCGGAGGTTTTTTTATAATGTATTACTATTTACTTTTTTAAAATTGGAGCAAACAACTTTTTTGTTTTTTTTTTATTTTGACCATTCAATATATATTAAGTGGTCAATATATAGTATGATAACTTGTACATTTAACCCCTTTCATTTTAAACATGTGTCATTTTAAACCTAATTTATAATATGTTCAATGTTTTTATTGTATTTTTATAACTAAAACATAATAATTTTTCATATTTTAGGTATATAAATAAAGACGTGATATAGTTGTATTATATATTTTCATATTAAAATATGAATTGTGTCTACAAAGGGATTAATTAAATTAGATGTCCTATAAAACATTTTAGGTAGATAAGGGTAAATTAGTTAAATTTATAGAAAAAATTATTAAAATAAGTTTAACCATTGAAGAAGTCATTTATTTATAGGTCAAAGTTAATAGATGATGAAGTGACAATAACTTTAAGTTATAACATAAGTTAACCTCTAAGTTATTCTCAAATTACTAATTTATCAATATTTATATAAATATTATATAAGTCTCTTACTTAATTTATTGTTCTTACACGTACCAATCGAAAAAGAAAAAAAAAATTAATGACAACATACAACCGAATAAATTAGCAAATTACAAATTTAATAAAATATTTCAATTACTTTTTGAAAGTTGTCAAAAAAAAAATAAATAATAATAATAGATTTTTCCGAAAACAACTATTAAAATTGCAGGTGGTCTGCTATTTTGTATAATGATTTGGGATCATATTTAGCCCATAGCCCAAAAATAATATGTAGGTATAAATATATTTGTTACTTAAAATCATATATAGTTAAGGGCCACCTAAACGATTGCCTATTTGCCTATGCTGCACCCAACTCTCTCCCTCTCCTTCTCCTTCTAGTGTTTACCATAAATGAGTATACATAACAACATTTGAAACATAGAACAAGAATAACATTTGACACTACATAGAACATGAATAAAATAAAATTTGACCAAGTCAATGAAACTTTTTGCTCCAATTTTAGTCCTACCAAAAAAGATGGAATCGGGTCGAACACACTTCTCGACTTTGCAATTTGACAAAAATCTCCTTATAGCACATTATCTTAACATCTTGAATACGTTTCCATAAAAGGTCGTTCTATGTAAGTAATTGTTTTTTAAGTTTCTTGAAGAAGCCTTGGATTTTGTTGGGACTTTGACCAAAGGATCATGTAGAGGTTTAACAAACCGACTAATAAGAAGCACATGAAAGGTGAAAATGAAAAGCTGATCATGCCAAGAGAGCCTTGGGCTTTTCCATAAAAGGTAAGTAATTATTTTTGCATTGTACTTAAACTTCCTTTCTTATTTTTAAGCACTTACACTTTTCTTTAATAAAAGTCTTCCTAAAAAGAACAATTTTACTAATAGCTTCTAAAATACATTTTTCAATTATAAAACCATATTTACAAAAGTCTAGATTTTTCTCCTTCTATCCAAAAAATTCTAACACAAAAGCATCTCAATACTTGTTTTAAACACATTCCATCTATCTTCTTCTATCAATTAATATCTACCAATCTACACCTCATATTCTCCCTTCCCTTGTTAGTTGTTACATGAACTTGCTTCATTACCTGAAAATACATGTCATACATAAACATAACGTGAGTAAGTTTAAAAAAGTGTTAAATTGACCTAATAATTTCTTTTCCACCTTTCCCATCTCCTCACATAATAAAATTTCAAATTCATTTGCTAATTGTTCTCTAATTTGCTTTAATAATCCTGATTCTACTCCAAACAAAGCTATTCATTAACATATCAAGAGTGCTGCTGTTTCATTTTTCATATTTTAATAATTATATTTCCCCACTATGTCAACCATTAATATCGGATACGAACAAGAAGAGCACATATATAACAGAAGAACAAATAAATCCTTAACATCCTACAAAAAAAATGAGTATTACATAGCTAATATGCATTGGCTAAAGGTTAATTATTTCTGAAAATCCATTTTAATTTTTAAGTAAACATGTATGGTAGAAAAGAAAAGATTAAGATATAAAAATTAGAAGAATATTGAGGTTCAGATATGCACCTGATTCATACTAAATCAACCTCTGCATCATGCCCTTATGCTTCTCCAAAATCTCCTTCACAGCTTCAGTATATAATGCAGCCTCTTCTTTATCTTCAAAACCACCATCTTCACTGTTCATAAGACCATCAATTCCACCATTGACATCTTTCATCTCCATTAGAATAACAAATACCCCGTTCATCACGTACCCTGAAACTGGCAACTTCAAAACGGGAATGCAACACTTACTCACTTTAGCAGGAACCTCTACACGATTTAACTCGGTTTCTGAAGCTGAATGTAAACTTTCCTTCACCTCAATGAGTTTTTTCCCACTCAGAGAAAGCCTCCCTCTTCTCCCTGAATCAGTAATGGAAACATATTCCAATGTTGGTAGATTATCAATGAAGTACAAGAATATACTATGCCTGTACATCACATCCTTCAGACACTGAAATGAAATGTCAAATTTCTTCTCATCATTCTCGTTTCCAGTAATATACAATCCATCTTTATCAGATATTGAATTCGGCCACAGAAACATAAACGATTCGAATCTGTTCCCAAACTTAACCTTCCACTTGAACAAACAACAATTATCCATACCTATCTCACCGGAAGACGGAATTTCGAAAAATAAGGACTTTACTCTTTTAAACTTGCTTAAAAACACAAGGACAGATGGAAAGTAGTTGCCCATAATCAAAGAAATGATAGGCAGAAGCGGCATGCTTGGGGCAACATCACCTTCGGTGTTCTTATGGGGAATATTAGGGTCTATGCAAGGAGCTGTGAAGGAAATGGCATCGACTTGAAGTACAATCGAGGAGAAACGTTTGGAAACGAGATAACAAAAGCAAAGGGTTTTCAAATCGATTGATTTGTTCAATATTTGGAGGATGATTCCGTCAGGTAAGGTGGTGATACAAGAATTATCAGCTTCAACTCCTTCTCGGGATTTCCTGAGGTTCACCGTTTTACAGAGAGAAAATAGAAAGTTTACTCCTATGACATTGTAGCTCTAATCATCCACCGGTTAACTTTTTATATTCACCATGAGTGCTTACCCATTTCACTCCGCTCCACACATTGCACATTGTTTTTTTAAAAGCTTGTACGAGAGTGTTTGATTAAAATGATAAACATTTTTAATTTATTAGATTATTAACTTATGATTGACAACCGAGTCTTAAAAAAATATTTATTATGTTTGATTAGAATGATAAACATTTTTATTTATTAGATTGATAATGACTTAAAAGTGTAATATATTATTTGATTTGTACACATTTAGTCACTGACTTTTTTTTCGTCCAAATTTACCCCTTCAACTTGTTAAATTTTACACATTTAGTCCTTATGACCGGCTACTCCAGGTTAGCCGGTAAAAATGACTTAATAGGGTAATATATTTCTCGCTTTGTACATATTTAGTCATTAATATTTTTGTACACATTTAGTCCTTAATATTTTTTTGTTGCAAATAAGTCACTTTTGATTTTGTACTCATTTGGTACTTATGAATGATTTTTTTAGGTTTTTCTCGCGACATCTTACGTGGGATAGCCATATGGTGGTGGGATAGGTTGAGGTGGTCTTGCTATATGTTGGCCAAGATACCTAGTGCGGGTCGGCTGTAAGCTGTAGGCACGGAGGCTCGAGAAGAGCGGTTGGGTTAAGGCGGCATGCCGACAAACCCTGGGTATTCCAGTCCAATGACTGATTGGACATGTTGCATGTTGGCATTCCAGTCCGATGACTGATTAGGCCAAGGTATTCTAATCTGATGAGTGTGGGCCCGTTATGCATGATAATACGTTTGTTGTATCGGTATTTTGGGAGAAACTCACTAAACTTTATGCTTACCCAGTTGTTTATGTTTTCAGGTTCTATCGTTGATCGTGGGAAGGCGAAAGCATGACTGTATACATTCATCAATAGTATTAAGGATTCCGCGTTTATGATATTACTCTGATTTTTGATAAATGTATTTTGGAATAAACGTGTTTTCTTAATAATAAATTTATAATCAGGGACTTTTGCCTTATTTAAAAATGAAAATTTTTTTGTTGTGAAAATAAGACGTTACACATAAACATCAACAACCTCACACACTTCATTAATGATTGTCTCATATTCATAAGTACTGAATGAGTACAAAAACAAAAATGACTTATTTTGAAACAAAAAAATATTAAGGACTAAATGTGTACAAAAATATTAATGACTAAATGTGTACAAAATGAGAAATATATTACCCTATTAAGTCATTTTTTCCGACTAACCTGGAGTAACCGGTCATAAGGACTGAATGTGTACGGTTTAACAAGTTGAAGGGGTAAATATAAACGAAAAAAAAACTTAGTGACCAAATGTGTACAAATCGAAAAATATATTACCCTTTTAAGTCATTATCCAAATTATAACTGACAACGGAGTCTTAAAAAAAATATTTATTAGATTATTAACTTATAACTGAAAACGGAGTCTTAAAAAAAATATTTGTATTAGGTGTCAAACCTTGTTTTAGTGTTTGAAAAATGATCAAAATAAAAAGGTTTTCTAAAATTATGGGACAACTATAAGCTATAAAGGTGTTTTTATAAGTTAAGAGTATAACTGATAAATGGTTTATTTTCGGTTTTACAATGTTATAGATTGTTTTAAAAGAGTGTTTTATTCAAATATTCATTTTAACTTATACTGGTATGAAACCGATAATAATTTAAAAAAACTCAGTTTTTAAGCTTAGCTAAACCCTCTAAAAGACGATAAATAAATAAAAATGTTTGGCAAAATAGAAAACAATTTTGTCATTTTTTTTCATCACAAAACTCCAAATCTGGAATATCTCAAAATCATAAAAGTTTATATAGATGTAGCGGGTAGACAGACAACAAACTGTGACACTAATCCTTTTTGGATGACAAAACTAATTCTTTCAAAAAAACATTCATAGATCTACGGGTCATAACATTACTATACATGACCCGTTGAACTCTATTGAGAAGTTCCACAACATCTGGCGCAAGGAAACCGAAAATATCAAACGCAAAAGATATAAATGTGTGTTGATTTTACATGCATATTTTCTCATGTTTTGCCATTTTGCATGAGATAGCTTTTTAAGCAGTATGTGTAATTGAGTATCATTCTCCTTCATTGACCATTAAGTAAATATACAACTATATAGACAAATACACCAAAGGCCAAGTGGGCCGAGACTATCTATCATACAACACTAAAATACATGGGCTAAGCTATCCATTAACATCCCCCCGCAGTTTGAACGGGAGTAGGACAAACATTTAAATTGAATCGAAAATCGTAAAAGAGTGTGGAAGGAAGACCCTTGGTGAAGATATCTGCGTACTGTGATGAAGAAGGGACGTGGAGAACCCTGATATCATCGATTGCAACTTTATCTCAAACAAAATGAATATCTATCTCGATGTGTTTTGTGTGTTGATGTTGGACCAGGTTTGAAGACATATATACGGCGTTGATGTTATCAAAATACACAATCGTAGCCTTGGTGGGGGGAAAATGGAGCTCTCTAAGGAGGTTACGTATCCATGAAGTCTCTGCAATGGAATTCGCGACTCCTCTGTATTCTGCCTCGGCCCTGGATCTGGATATGACACCTTGTCGTTTGGATGACCATGAAACAAGATTATCGCCTAGGAAGACGCAATATCCTGATGTTGATCTTCGATTGGCAGGACATCCCCCCCAGTCAACATCAAAGTAAGCTGTGAGAGTGGACTGGGGAGAGACATGAATGTGAAGACCATCATCGATGGAATCACGAATGTAGCAAAGGATACGTTTGAGAGCATGAAGATGAGGCTCTCGAGGGTCATGCATGTAAAGGCAGATCTGCTGAACAGCGAAAGATATGTCCGGTCTGGAAAATGTGAGATATTATAGTGCACCAACAAGACTGCGATATAGAGAAGGGTCCGAGACTGGTTTGCCTTCTGCGCTAAGCTTATGAACAACTTCAGCGGGTGTACGACAAGGGTTACAATTCATCATATTAACTCTTTTAAGGATGTTTGCGGCGTACTTTTCTTGAGAAAGAATAGACCACGAGAATCACGAGTGGTAGAAATTCCAAGAAAGTAGTTTAGAGACCCGAGATCAGTCACAACAAACTCTTTGCTTAGAAGAGTCGTGGATGAACATGTCAAGATAATATCATCTACATAAAGAAGAAGATATGCGCTATGCTCAACATAATGGTACACAAAGAGAGATGGATCCATGCGGCTGTGAATGAAACCCAACCTGGAGGCATGAGTTGCAAACCTATGGTACCAGGCTCTAGGGGCCTGTTTAAGCCTATATAAAGAACGCTGAAGGAGACACACATGATCCGGTGGTGGGGGTCATGAAACCCTGGAGGTTGGTACATGTAAATAGTCTCCTGAAAAGTGTCATGAAGAAATGCATTCTTCACATCAAGATGATGTATAGGCCAGTGGCGAGAGATACCGAGATTGAGAATAATACGAATGGTGGCCGGTTTCACAACCGGACTAAAAGTCTCATTGTAACACCGGGTTCCTGGTACGTATTTAATTTATTAATTATTCAATTTATAAGAGCAACTCGACGAGTTGGAAGCCCCAAACTCGTCGAGTAGAGATCATATGGGCCGCGTGATTTAAGTAACCTACTCGACGAGTTGAGAGGCCTCAACTCGACGAGTAGGCTGGCAGAGGAGAAACCCTAATTTACGGGGTTTGCACCCTATTTAAGCACCTTAAACCTTCCATGTTGGCCTCATTTCCATCCTCCAAGTCCCAAACCCTAAATCTCGAAACGTTAATGTTATTGTGAGTGTTTATGAGCTATTTCAAATGATTTAGTGTGTGTTTTTCAAGCTATTGGAAGAAGGAGAGGCTTGAGGATACAAGAAGGAGCATATAGATCCAGAATCCTTGCCTCATCCACGTCACTTTTCTGGTATAAAGCTTGAACCTTGCTTTGTAGTTTATTAGATCCCCTTTTTGGGATTATTTTGCTTGTTTTGGTTCAAATGACATGATTCTTGGGACTTGGACGTCCCAAGTGAAGAACATTTCATATCCAGGGTCTTGAAAGGTTTTCATGGCATAAAGGTGCAAACTTTATGGCCATGGAAGCCCCATGCAACCTCTAGACCATCATTTTGGTGTTTTGAAGCTTTTATGGCCATGCATGAGGATAAAGTTTAAGGCTTTACATTGTGACAACTCGAAAATTTTTGCCTTGTAAAGCCCAGCCAGTCAACTCAATTGAGTGTCAGACTCGTTTCTGCTATCATTTAGCCTTGTTTAGAGTCCGTTTAAAGGTTCAAAGCTCAGTACATTCAAGCATTGAGTATAGGATTGGGTCGCGTACACTTCTATCCTTGAAATCAAGCCATACACTCCATTTGAGGGAGTGTACGGCCGTACACATGAGTGTGCGGCCGTACACACATGTGTGTGCGGCCGTACACACATGTGTGTGCGGCCGTACACCCATGTTGGCTGTACACCCCTCCCTAAGAGTGATATCCTTCCATTTTCCAAGCCATTTCATCAGTTTCCAAGTCAAGAACATCAATTTCTCTCTCAACTATCATCGAACCTTTCACCTGATCTTCAAGAATGTAAGCTTTCTTCCGTTTTGATTTGTTGTTAATCCTTTTAACCTAGTAACACCATTTGATTTCATCCATTTGAAATCATATTTTGGCTAGATCTTCAAATCTCACCAAGAACACCAAGAACACACACTCGTTCTTGGTGATTTTGAGCCTTCTCGAGCCTCCGGACCGTAAGTATTCCTTCCATATGCTTAGATCTTGTTAAGAACACTAGATTAACACCTTAAAAATGCCCATAACTCATGAACACAAGGTGTGTGCGGCCGCACACCCATGTGTGGCCGTACACCCCTCAAAACACCCCTAAAGGGCCTTCAAAATGCATTTCTAGCTTCACCACTTGATGAGCATTAGTCCCACAAGCCTCCCTACCTTTGGAAAACACTTTTGTGCACTCATTACCATGAGTGTGCGGCCGCACACTCCCTGGCCG